AGTTTAATTTGGTATTCCTTGGGTCCTCACATTACCTTTTGTCCATCACCCTTCTAGATTCCACATCTTTTTCAGGATACTTACAGCAGGTCTAAATCGGGGTGGTGGTGTTCGATCCTTCCGTGCTTCACGAGAGCGATTCCTGACTACCTTGCTGTGAATGGCACAACTCACACAGTAATGTAGTTTCACATACAGCTTGGGAAGCACATAGGCTAAGAGACAGAAAAAGGCATAACAGTAGGTATCATACCCACTCTGCATTTGCTCTCGCCTTCATTCTATCACTTAAAATCAAACAAGTATGTCTCAGACATTGCTACAAAGCTGCACTTCGAAAGCAACCATTCAGTTTCTGATCATTTAACACCGGTGCATTTTCACAAGTGAATACTCCTGGACCCCTATTAACCCATCTTGTCACCATGGGTACCAAATCCAAAGCCTCAATGTAATAAACAAGAGAATCAATCCAGTTCCTTCAACAGTTGCACCAGTCCCATTGTCTGTTCTTTGGGCCCCTTTTCCTTCCCTAGGAAAACTAATGTGTCTAAACAAAAAGTGATAACGAGAGAAAGCATATTGCCCCCCCCAAAAAGTCACCCTTGACCAAATGAGACTACCTTCATTTTTGAAACATTACTCAAAAGACTTAGTTTACACATTTTTCATAAGGAGTATTCAAAAGTTCAATAATCCACAAAAGTTGCTACAGTTATCACGTTGGAATCTCACTCTAAACAGATAGCCAGAAACGATAATCCAAAGACTGCACTATCATAAAAGCCCCTGCCCAGTCGAATGAAAAAACGCAAAACATAAACACAAAATACCGTCCTCTTGAAACCAACAGCAGTTCTAAAGGTGCATAGAAGTTGCCTGGGACGCGCCAGGAACGCGCGGACAAACAGGGCCTGCAAGTGGGGATGGAGAGCTCACTCACCATCGAAGACACTCGCCTCGGAAATGTCCCTGACCGCGGCGGCCTCCACTATGTTCCGAATAACGAACTTCTTAATAGCCTTGTCCTTGGGCACGCAACGGGCGCAGTTGGTGCAACGAATAGGCTGCACGTGGCCGCGGCCCTTTTTGGCACGACCATTATTCCTTCTTTTCTTGGTCTGCGTCAGAATGAAGATCGCATCATAAACGTGGAAAATCTGTCCCAACCTTAGCCCCCCACCAGCTTCAATCCGCGCAGGCAGCCCTTACAAAAGCTCCACGGAGACGTTAAGTCCGTCCGCAAATCCCTCCAAGTTCGCAACAAATATGTACACTCTGTATACTCTCCACCACGGCCCAGGCTTTCAAGTCCCCAAACCCCAGAAACCTGCTCTTCTCAGTCGTCACCAAGAACCCCGCACTCACCACGCGCCACAACTCACCATCTTGGAAACGAGGACCCGAGAGAGGATGTTGCACTCAGCCCGGCTCTTTTATATAGTACGAGATCCCTACGCCCACACAGGAAGACTATTTAGGAGACACATACCAAGAAAGGCAACCCACTGTACTCAAACTTTCTTTATTATCCAGCGTTTACATTGAAATCTAGGGTAGAATGGTGTTTCTCGAGTTTAGTTATCCGTGGTAGAAAGTGACCATGGGACTATTTAACCGGCTGGCGGAAGAAAATTAGGGTTATTCGTACCCACCAAACACCACGGCACCCTACCCCGGAAGTAATTCTGGGCGTTGTAATTATCCGGTTTTTGCGACGCTATAGGCGGATGTTGCTCGGCCTAGACCACAAATCGTGCTATCAGAAGTCAGAGCTGGCGAGATGCATGGGAGTTGTAGTGCGAAGGTGGCAGGCCTTTGGCCTTAAGTACTTGGACCGAAAGCGGCGCTACGCCACCGGGGGACGCTCTCGGCTTATTTCTCTGACAATCATCTTGGTGTGGGATTGAGCAACGGACAGGGGTGGGTGGGGAACAAAACAATGTGTTAATTCCTCCTTCCAATACGGACAAACCCCCTACGAACCCCCCTGGAAGGCCCGTTGGGAAGTACGTGGGTGTTAGGGCTGTTTTTCATTCACTTTTTTTTGTAAATCCCTGGATCCTATTAGCCTAGCGCCCGGCATTGTAGTAAGCGCTTTATAAATATTAACTAATTTTACCTTCAACAAACCTGTAAGGGAGGTACTATTATTATCCTCACTTTGCAGATTGAAAAACTGAGGTGCAGAGCGGCGGTTAAAACTGAGCAGCGAAAGTCACAGCGTTAGTAAGTCGTGTCCTACCTTCACTGCACCATGCTGCCTCCCACTAACAACAACAACAACAACAACAACAAAATGGATCCTGGTATATAGTCTGGAACAGTAACTTCAACAGTTTTGAGTCCCACTCACAGTAGAGATATATTTTACATTGGTACTCAAATACGTACACAAACACAAGTACACAAACGTATAAAACTGAAACACAGACTTCATGAAACAGTACTTGCTTAGACATAAGGTGTCTATTTTATACTTTATTTTAATAAATGCTGAATAAGCCCCACTGAAGTGGTTTCACTCAGTGATGAGGCTGGCATGTGATTGAAACATACTGTCGTTCATATAAACTCCGTTTACCCCTGAAGAGTCTTCAGAAAGTCTTTAGCTTTGAGCAGGAGTGCTATCCATGGGAGGTCAACCATCCAGTTGTCTTCAAACATTAAAAAATTAAGTGTCCAGTTCATAGCAGCACTCTTAACAATAACCAAAACATGGAAAGAGCCTAAGTGTCCATCAACGGACGAATGGATCAAGAAGATGTGGTTTATCTATACCATGGAATACTACATGGCAACGAGAAACAATGAAATCTGGCCATGTGTAGCACATGGATGGACCTTGAGGGTGTTATGCTTAGTGAAATAAGTCAGGCAGAGAAGGACAAATATCACATGTTTGCACATATAGGAGGATTAGGAGGAACTTAACTGAGGACCATGGGGGAGAAGAAGGGGGAAATGGTGGGGGAAAGGGAGAGAGGCAAACCATGAGAGACTCTTGAATGCTGAGGAACAAACTGAGGTCTGATGGATGTGGGGAGGAGAGGGGAGAGGGGCATGGAGGAGGGCACTTGTGGGGATGAGCACTGGGTGTTATATGGAAACCAATTTGACAATCAACTGTTTGTAAAAAAATTAAAATTAAAATTAAAAAATTAAAAAAATAAATTAAGTGTCCAGTGGACCTCCCAGAATTCAAACCCAAGATGGTACAGATGGAGATCCGCAATTCATTCATGAGTCATTTGGGAGTCTGAACACGTTACTTTCCCTCATACCTATCGTGTTTCTTTTTTCTTTCGGTTTCTTTTAATCCCTAATCCAATTTATTGGGGTTAAAATTTATTTTCTAACTTTTGTTTTGGCTTCAGAACTATATTCATGGTCTCTCCCTTTGTTAGTTTTAATGAGGCATGAAAAATGATGGACTTTAGATGGAAGTGTCTTCAATTTTCACTTCAATATAGTCTCATGGGAAACAGAAGCAGACATTAGTGTATGGATTGGCAAGGAGATAGAACAGGAAAAAGTGCAGAGTGAAGGAGACAGAAAATAGTTAAGATTGAAGAATCAAGTTAATGTTGGGGCGCCTGGGTGGCTCAGTCGGTTGAACATCCGGCTTTGGCTCAGGTCATGATTTCGCGGTTAGTGGGTTCAAGCCCCGCGTCAGGCTCTGTGCTGACAGCTCAGAGCCTGGAGCTTATCTTCGGATTCGGTGTCTCCCTCTCTCTCTGACCCTCCTCTGCTCACGCTGTCTCTCTCCCTCTCAAAAATAAATAAAACATTAAAAAATTTAAAAAAAGTAAAAATTGCTTGACACATTGCAAGCAATCCAAAAAAAAAAAAAAATCAATGTTTCTATCTCGGTTTTTCTATGGATTTTTATAACCTAGGAGTTTCAGTGGCTGAACTCCCTGGTATAAAGGTGTGGACACAGACTTTGGAGTTACACACTTCTAGATTCATAACTGCGTTTTGACATTTATTGGCTGATGAGTCTTGGACAAGTTATTTATTCTTTTCTTGGGCTTTTATTTCTTCACCAGTAATGGTGGATCACTTATTCATAGGTGGTTTCTACTATTAAATGAATACTTGGCACGGCGCTTGGCATTTATGAGATACTCAGGAAGTGGTAGTTCCTATTGTTATCATCTCTCATGTTATTGTAACTGGTATCTCCCTAGGCGTGTAATGTGTTTTGCATAGAGTAGATACTCTACAAATGTTTGATGAATCTCTGCTTTGGATGGATAGGCAAGCAGGGCTTTCTCTATCCTGAAGGCACTCCTGGTAGGAAAATCTCCACTTCCCACTATAGGTCGAAAAATCTGTTCTTCTGTAGGAATAACTTGAGCATTCTTGTTTGGCTTCCTCTTAGTCTTTGACTTGTTCACCTTCAAAATGTTGAGCAGTTAGTACAATATACAGCAAAGAGGCCCCCCTCCCTCCCAGCAGAAAATTACAGCAAAGGAAGTCTGCAAAAACAACCAGGGGTGTTAAATTACTCATGTTTATTTATAACAGACCTTCAGCCAGTACAGTACAAAACTTACAGTAGTATATCTCCGTTACACAAATATTTACTTACAATATATTACATATACAAAATGCTTTGCAATAAGTCTCAAAAGCTAGTTTAACTCCCCTTGAGAAAGGAGAAAAACTCTTTAAAAAAGGGGGTTGGGGGAACCAAAGAAAGAGGAGGAGGTGAAAGGGTAAGGTCCAAGGAGACACCAAGCATAGGCTACAAATGAAACCCTGGTAGAGAGAAGAGAGGTGGTATTGCACTTGCTTCTGTGTTTTATTTTTTTCTTTTTGTTCTTCATAACTTCTGATTAAAAATATATATAATATATATATATTATGTACACAAAGAAAGAAGCCGCTGGAAGTATTACAAAATCCCATCTGCAGCTTGGACACTGACACAAAAAAACAAAGGTCTGGAAAAGTGTCTATTTAGAAATTTTTTGTGTGTGGTATTGGTTTTGAATATCAATATAAAAGGAAAACACCTCTTTTCTCCATGTGGGTTTCAGTGTGTTTTTTTTTTTCTTTTTCTTTACTTTTTTTTTTTTTTTTATGCAAAAGGATCTGGGAGAGAGCATGAGGATGTTTGAGGTTCCAGAGCTAGAAGGCTCTGGAAAGTAGGATTTTGTACCTAAGACCCTGGTTAAAGTGCAGTGATGGTCTGGAGAGAGACAGAGTGCCCTTCTCTCCCCTCCTTAGCACCTGGTCTTGCCCTTCCAGTCTCTGCTCTCATGGGCTCAGAGTATAGCCTCAGAGCATAGTCCTTCATGTTCCAGGAGGTTACAGGTGCCAGAGCTGACTGGGGGAGGGGACGGGGGCACCCTAAGGCTCTGATACCTCAGAAGGGACTAGTCCTTATGAGGTGTCACCAAGTACACAGCAGACGCAGAAGAGGTGGTAAGGGGTAGGTCTAACAGAAAGGGGCTCCATAACCAGAACATTTGAGGAGAACCCTAGATATTAATCTCAGCTCTGCTGCCATCCTGAAACAAGGAGCCAGTTCCCTAGGGTGCTGTTGCGAAGACTCACCCCTTATCTAGAGACCACTCTCCTCCCAGTTGACTCCCCCATCCTCTGCCCTTGGCAGCATCTGTTTATTGCTACACTGTCAAGGAGGAACAATCAACCCGCAATGCCCCTTCCTGACAATCTGGTTCTCTTAGGGAGACTACATAATGGGGGAGAAAAAGGAAAAAAGAGAAGTTTTTCTAGGGCCTCCCTTCCCATAAGAGGGCAAGGTAGACTCTTCTTAGAGCCCTTAGGAGCCCCAATCCCAGGATCTGTTCCTTAGCCAACCCTTCACCATCCCCCTAAATTATCCCTGATAGGGAGTGAGAAAAGTAGGAGGCAAAAGAGCCAATAAGGAAAGGACATATGGAAAGAAAGATGGAAGGGAAGAGAAAAGGAGAGAGAGAGGGGACCAAGCGTTACAACTTGTGAGGTGTTGTGTTTGGTTTTTACTTTCTTTTTTTTCTTTTTTTCTTTAAGTATAGAAAAACAGCCTTTGGTTTGAATCTCAAGGAAGCAGAGAATGGGACAGCTGTGGCCTTGGGCAGGAAACATTTGTGGAAAGAGAGCTCCACTTGCAGTGGAGCTATCTCCTCCTGCCCGCTTCTCACTAACTAGGTTACCCAAAAAGCCAGGGGTCTCTGCTGTAGCCAGGAGGAGAGTGCCCCCATCCTGCCCTACAAATGGGAACTGAGTGTAGAAGGGGGCAGTAAAGGATGACCCCCAGTTCAGTTGTGCCCATCCCATTCTTGCTGGGACAAGAATGGAATGAGATGAGGGGCAAATGCCCTTCCTCATCCTGGGATAATTTTTGGTTATACTGAAAATTAGAAGAGAGAAAAGAGACACCCTTTTCTCCCTGCCACTGATCCTACGAACAGGGCCCAGAAGCTTGGGAATGAGGGTGAATCTTGCAGGGGGATTGGGGGAGAAGAAGAAGGCAGCATGACTGAGGGGTTGAGATACCCCCTTGTCATCAGGCAGCAACCCACTAGTTTCTCATAGGACAGGGACTGCAGGAGCCCCTGAGAGCCTAGGAAGGTCACTAGAGTGAAGAAGTTTAGAGGCGGAAGAGAAAGAGAAGAATTTTAAACCACCCCTTCCCATGCCCTGTTCCCAATTAGGCACCTGTGGCTCCCAACATGTCAGAGACAGGATTGCAGACCTAGCCTTGGCCCCTGAGAATATAAAATTGGGGCACTCCAAGGAGAGAAAAACCACCACTGAGTAGACCGGCAGGTTGAAGAGAGTAGCAGTGTTGGGGGTTGTTTGAGGAGAGAAGAGACAGATCACCTCCCAGAGGGAGATTCCCGAGTGTGGGCTTTGGGAAACTCATAGTACTAGGGGAACATCAAGAGGACCCTCGGTCCCACAGTGCTGAGGAGAATTTCTTCAGCCCCTCCTACTTCCAAATGAGGAAAGCCTTCATTTGTTCAAGCATAGTGCAAGCTGCCTAAAGTGAGAGGGCACAAGAGGTATGGAGTACCAGGTTGGAGGGTCCCAGAGAGGAGATATAATGCCACAGAGCTAACATAGGGCCAGAGGGAGCTATCAGCATCAAAACGGAAGAATCCGAGAAAGCAAAAGGTGGGGACTTAACACAAGAAACTCAGGACTTTAGGACTAAGAGGAGCTTCTTACCCCTAGGGCTGTTAGAGAAAAGTGGATCAGAGAAAGAAAAATGAGGCCTAACGTGGAAAGGGACTGTGGGCAGAAGGGTGGGAGAGTGGCAAATGACTGATACAAGTTAAGAGAAAAAAGCAAAAGAAAAATCAACAAATTATATTAATAAATAACTCTGAATATGCTGGGATGAGAGGCGAAGAGGAAAAGGAGAAACGTAAGCAAAAAGGCCTGTTTCATCACAATGCTTGAATCAGTCAGGGTAGAGGAGAATAGGTGAAGAGGGGTCAGGGTCAAGTGTGAAGTCAGGTAGCCAGTGGTGGGGGCTACCAAGCAAAACTCCTTGGGATGTAGTGGGGACAGAGCTAGACTCGTGTAGGCAGGGCAGTGGAGTGGCAGACTGAGGGGAGGGCAGCAGGTGGCTAGCCCACCTTGTGCTCGCCCCGGACGATATGGGAAGAGAATTCGTACCGGTCCTGGCTGTGGTAACCACAGATGTTACACTCAAAAGGGTCTCTGAAGCCATGGCAGCCCATGTGGATGGTGAACATGACATGGTCCAGAAAAAGGATTCGGCAGTGCTCACACTTGAAGGCCTTCACGGGCTCACCACTCTCGCCCACCACCCGGAGCACTTCCTTGGAGGGGCCTGGGGTGCCCCGCAGTAACCCCTCCTGTGGCTTGGGGTCCTCTTTGGCGTAGGCAGGACTGGGCCGGCCCACCACAATCGTGGGAGGTGGCTGGGGTGGGGGACCCTGAGGGAGGGATACCACCCCCCCAACCCGGTCTTCATGGTTGCTCTCTGTATCTGTGGAGTCCTGGCAGCCATTGCTGGGGGACGCCCCAGGGTCGGTCAGGGGGCCTCGGGCCCGGTAGAGGAGGGGACCTCCATCAGCCAGGTCCTCGGGTCCCTCACCTGCTTCTCGGGACCCTGGAAGCTCCAGTCGGCCGGGGAGGGGCTGCATCTGGGTGTAGACAGAGCTGATGACGGGTGTGAGTTCTGAGATGCAATTGGTAGGTGGAAGGCGGAGGGGACGCAGATGCTCTGTCCCCACAAAGGCCAGGGAACCTCCAAAACCAGGCTCCAGGCCGTGATGTGCTACCAACTCCACATCCTTCTCATAGCCACCCGAGTTCACATCATAGGGGATGTCTGAGAGGCTGAAACGCATCTGCTTTTCACCTGTGGAGAAGAGGACCTCAGCAGAGCTGGGTTTGGAGAATTCCTAAGCTCCTCCGGGATTATTTCTTTGTTTTCTTACCATGGGGATGGCTGTAATATTATTTACCACCCCTCATTTACTTCCCTCAAGGTCAGGTCCTCTGTAGGGCCACTCCCCAACTCCAGGCTATAATCTTAGGGAAGGACTCAGTCCCAGCCCACTGATCTTTAAAACTTCCTTCATTACTCTTTATAAAGCTAGAGAGCGAACTATCAAGGCCAGATGGGTGGACCCCATACTCACACCTCCTCCCTCTGACACCAAGAGTCATTCTCTCAGTTCCCACAGGTTGAAGTCCTTGCTATTCTCAAAACCTGGGAGAACCTGAGCTCCCTAACCCCCTCCTCTTATAACCACCACAAGACGCCTCAACACTGACCCCTCTCCACCCTCTTGGGGTACCTTCTCCCTCTTCACTCCCTTCCTATTCTCTGGGGATGTTTTCTGAGCACCAGAGACTACCAGACCGCTTTTTCAAATCAAATCTCCAGACCCAACTGGTTGAATAGCTACCAGAGCTCAGATTTAGATGAGCTGTGGCTTAAAGCTGATGTCTCCTCTCCAACAGGATTCTTACCTACAAACTTCTGGGGGGTGGAACGCTTGCGTTTGGTGAGGCTGTTGGCCAGCCGATCAATGAAGGTTGGCCGCTCAGAGGATGAGTGCAGCATGGAGTCCGGCACCATCTCCAGGTCACGTATCTCATCACCTGGAGAGAAGGAGGTGGGGACAATTAATAGCTGAATGGGAGTAGCATTGGCCTAGCAGCCTTTGCCCGGAGAAAATCAGCAGGTCAGTAGCCAAGGAAGCTCATACTTGATACCTGGAGAACTAGGCTCTGCTTACTTCCCTCCCATCCAGAGCTCATCCTAGCAACATTTTAAGTAATTTGAGGACAATTATATACATGTGGGGCGCCTGGGTGGCTCAGTCAGTTAAGTGTCCGACTTCAGCTCAGGTCATGATCTCATGGCTTGTGGGTTCGAGCCCTGCGTCGGGCTCTGTGCTGAACGCTTGCTCAGAGCCTGGAGCCTGTTTTCAGAGTCTGTGTCTTCTTCTCTCTCTGCCTCTCCCCCACTCACACTGTGTCTCACTCTGTCTCTCGAAAATAAATAAATGTAAAAAAAAAATTATATACACGTGACCCTTGATTTTATACTTCCTTGTGTCTTCTCTCTCCTGTTACACTAAGGACATAGAGCACATCCTCTCTGACCCCCAGATCTCCCTGCAGCACCTCCTACAGGGCTCTGTACCAACTGGAGGGCTGGGCAGATTTACTGAGGTGAGGGTCCTTTTTCCACAGACTGTATCCCTTTGTGAAGGGGGGAGGAGCTGGAATCATTCTGGCCCAGCTCTCCCTCTGGCCCAGCCCTCAGCACCCCCACAGGCCTGCCGCCAGCCCCACCTGCTTGGCCAGCCAGAGCTTGGGCTTCAGTGCTGAGACTCTGTAGGTAGTTGTGGCACCGCTCTTTGTGCTCCTCCAGCGTACTCTGCTGTTTGTAGCTCCGGCCACAGTAGTTACACTTGTAGGGCTTGCCCACCGTGGGAGAGGAGACTGTGGAGGAGACAGGAGACGGAAGGCATGTTACTGCTCCCCCAACCCTGGCTCCACAAAACCATCCAGGAGCAAAGGTGCATAGGCTTGAGGAGGAAGGGATGTGGCTCAGGTGAGTTCTGCTTGTCTTTCCTTCCCTGACTTAAGCTGCAAGCCTGGACAGATAACCAGACCGTGGAGAAGAAGGTCAGTGCACAAGCTACGGGAAGACAGAGGGGAGCCGGGGCATATAGCTCTGGACTCTCAATGGGCTTCACGATGGCCACACTGCTGCTAAAAAAGGAAGGGAGGACCCAGGGACTCTGTAGGGGATCGTCCCTGGCAGGCAGGCTGGCCCCACCCCAGGGTCTCAGATTCTGGGGCCCCGACTGTGGTTTAACCTTTCCATGTGGCAGGCGGGTGTAAGGGCTGTTTATCAGACAAGGGGATTTTTTGCTTATGAGTTATCTGCTTCGGTTTGAGGGAAATTGGTGACCTGGGGTGACAGAAATGAGAGCCCTTAGATCTGTCAATGTGGGGAGGGGCAGTTCTCACTGACCTTTACTTGTACTTTTACCTCCACCCTTTGCCTGGTTTTACTGCCTTTCTTCCTTTCTCTCTCTCTCTCTTCCTTCCTTCCTTCCTTCCCTCACACCTTTCCTCTCTTTCTCTCTTTCTTTCTTCCTTTCTTTCAGATTTTATTTTTAAGTAATCCGACACCCAATGTGGGGCTAGAACTCACAAACCCAAGATCAAGAGCCATATGCTTTACGAGCTGAGCCAGCCAGGCGCCTCTACTGCTTATTTTTCTTTCTGTCTCTCTACACTGAGATACTAAGAGAGCCCCAGAAAAACCATCACTGAGAGAGAAATTGCAAGAAGAGAAAAAGAATAAAAGGACAGAGAGGAGAATAAAAGAGATGAGTAAAAGGAAGAGAACATCAACTCTGAGAGCCTTTTTAAAAATTTTTAAATAGAGAATAAGTTATAAAGATTTTGTTTCTGGAGTGCCTGGCTGGCTCAGTTGGCAGAGCAGGTGATCCTTGATCTCAGTGTTGTGAGTTCAAGCTCCATGTTGAGTGTAGAGATTACTTAAAGAGGAAAAAAAAAAAAAAAAGATTTTGTTTCTACTGAAGAATAGAAGTTAGGAAAACTGAGATGGACACTTTCTTAAAGACAACTTTTGAGAGATGAAATTTGTGAGAGGAGAGAGAAAAGTGAGAGAACAAGATATTGTAGATTCTTTTTTATGTATCTTGCTACTATTGAGGATGGGGACAGCAGAAAGTGTCTCCAGGAGGCTGGTAATACTAGCCCCACAGCCCCTACACACACACACACACATACACACACACACACCCCTTAACTGGGCCTTGATTCAATCAGTCTAGTGCCATTTTGACCTTGCTCTGTAAACCCTAGTGTTTGGGAGATGAGGTGAATGCCATGGTCCTGTCCACTCAACACTTAAGGGAAATGGTTTAACATCTGGGATGGGAACCCCTTTTTTCCTTATAGTGTGGGTTATAACAGAAAGCATATCACAGAGAGGGAACCAGGGGTATACCTGTGTCTAATTCTGTCCCTAATAAATCTCTTACGGAATAACATCCAAAATTTACCCAGCTGGCCCCGTTGCTATTGGCTCAAGAATTCTGGGACCAAGCTATCCTTGTTCCAAACCAGCAGGGGGAGCCGCCCCTTTTCTGAGGAAAAGGAGTAGGACTCTTTGGCACAGAACATTTATGGGGGTCCAGGAAGGCTGCAGGATAGCTCTGTGACTAACAAATCTGTTTTTTTCTTTCTTTTTCCCCAAGAGCTTCAGTTTCCTTATCAGCAAAACGAGGATAATACCATCTACCTTGGAGTCGTTATGAGGGCCACATGAAAAGACGAGCAAAGTGTTTTGTAGATTATGAAGTCTGAATCAATGATGACCTTTCTCCCTGTTTCTCTACTCACTTCCAAGGTGAGAGAACCTAGAACAAGGTCGGTGGCTGGGAAAAGGGTGATGAGGTGACTGCTCTGTCCCCTTCCACCCTGGCCCAAGAGAGTTTAGAAAAATAGCAAGGAAAATTTCCAAGGACATATCCTGCTAATGTTTTGCCTCTGCCCTTCTCCCTGCCTTTCCCCAATCTTGAGCTCCTCCTTCCTGCAGCTTGACACCTGGCATCTTTGCAAGGCCAAGTCAAAAGCTTAAAACTTAGTAAGATGCTTCAAAAGTGCCATGTGTCCAGCTGATTCAGACAGATGTTGATTCAAACCGTCTTGGCTGGGGCTAGGAAACCTGCGTAGTCTGGTTCACTGGCACTGATCCAAACACTATCTTCTAGACACCGTCATGACTTGCTCTTGCCTCTGGGAAGGGGACAACCTCTTGAGATGGGGAACAGAGGTTTTTCCTAGGCTTCCTTTCTTCCAGTTTGGAGGACCATGGATATTTTCCGGAACCAGACGAAAGGAAAGGAGACGACAGACAGTGGTTGTCCGGGACGTCTGGTATTGTGGAGGGAGGTGATAATGGTGATGGGTGTGGGGCCTCAAGCACAGGGTGGCGTGAGGAAGGGTTTTCCGATGCTTAGAAGTATGTGTGTTGGCGGGTGGCACAGGTGGTTCTGGCATTAGCATGAACTTTAAAAAACAGAGGGAGAGTGACTGTTAAGAGCCAAGAACATCACGCCTGCTCCATTTGCTCCAAGTCACTGAGTGTGGCAGATGTAAAATACCTCATCAAAGAGTCCCCCAAATTCCCCATGGGGCCCTGCTGCCCAGACGAGGGGTTAGCGAGGCAGGGCCCTATCCGCTCTGTGAGTGCTCTGCCCTCCTCAGTGACAGACCCTGTAACTCCCCAAATGTCAGAGAAGTCACTGAGCTCTATTTCCTGGGTGTACTGAGGTCCCACTCTTCCTTCCCCCTAAATAGGTAACTGACCGGAGTGTGTACGGAGGTGGCCAGTGAGAGCATCGCGCCGGCGGCAGGCGTAGTTACAGAAGGGACATTTGAAAGGCTTCTCCCCAGAGTGCAGTTTGATGTGGCGCAGCAGGTTCCCCTTCTGGGTGAAGGAGGCGCCACACTGGTTGCAGTGGAAGGGCCTTTCACCTGCAAGAGAAAGAACAGACCTCTGAGGACTGGGTGTGAGGAATTTTGAAGGCTGAGCCTTTTCCGCCACCCTCTGCCCCACCCTGCCTAGGGGAAGGTGCTCAGAACAATTTCTGAGAGGCAGAGCTGCGGCACACGGCACACACACACAAAATTCTTGCTTCCTAAAGATTCCCTTGGGGACAGCCTTACCCTGAGAAGGTGTGGATCAGAAACGACTGGTAGGCCAAAGGGCACCTGGCCTGGAACCCTGGGCCCAAAGATCATTAACCCAAAATGGAGCCTTCTAAGACCCACTCTGCCCCTGGAGCCCAAGGCCTGAGAAAGCTGAGAAGAGGCTTTTGTTTTCCTTTTTTTGTTTGTGTGTGTTTGTTTTAAATCTAGACACACAGCAGGGCCCAACTATTACCCAGGGGTCCTACCCCTGTTGGACTGTAGGATCCTTCCTGAGGCTACACCTACCTCTCCCTCACCTCCTGAGAAAAATACCAGCTTTTCTTTATAACAACAGCTGATGGGAGTGCCAGAGAAGTACAGGTGTTGAGGGAATCCAAACGCCATCCCCTCCCCTCTTCTTTCATCAGCTAGAAAACGTGCTGGGAGAGACTCTTCCCTTTCTGAGGCTGTCCCACCGCATGGTAGCCTCCTATGCCTCTGCCTTTGCAGCCTACCCCGGGAGCTCCTCTTCAACCCCCTGGCTTACTCACCCGTGTGGCTGCGCTTATGCACCATGAGCACATTGGGTCCGATACAGACCATGCCGCAGACATCGCATTTGAGCTTGCCATTGGGCAGCCGGATGCCCCCGGGGGAGTGAGGCTCTGGCCCACTTCCATCACAGTAGCCCAGGGGCTCTGACAACGAGTCTTCCACGATCACACTGTCGTCCTTTTCTAGGAGCCGCTCATCTGGCCCCAGCAGTCTGCTCGACTCCTCATCGCTGTACATCTCCACCTTGATGGAGTTGGCTGGAGGGTGGGATGGTGTTTAGGACACAGACAGGCAAAGGGAGGAACCTGCCTGCAGACCAGAATGGCACTCCCAATGTCCAGAAGGCTTTCTCCTGGCCCTGAGACACGTGGGCTTTAAAAGAGGCCAATATCCTTGGTATCCTGGGTGGTGATATGGCAGTCCTGCTGGGACCTGAAACAACCTTCTCCTTCTACCTCACCACCTAGGCAAACAGGCTTCAAGAGAAAGAAGTTGGGGTACATGGGATGCCTTCTGTCCCACTGAGGAGAGGAGGAGGCTAAGGGGGGCCCTTTTCTCTGCTCTCTTGTCATTAAGAAGGACTGCTGGCTTGGCCCTGGGCAGGAAGCCAGCAAGTAACAGTGGCGGGAAAATGGTTCTAGGAAGACCAGAGAGACAGCAGGCTAAAGACAGAGCAAAACTGGAAGACAGGCATGGCTCACATTATCCTCCCTCCCCATAAGACTGAACCCCTTCTACTCCCCTCCATTAAAACCTGGAGAGAGGGATGAAGGAGGGAGGAGCCACTGAGGAGAAAGCTTTGGCTCTAGCTCTGACCTACATTCCTGGCTATTCCAACCATTTAGAGAATGTCATAGATCTAGGGCCAGTGATGGGGACCCTGTCCGGGCAGGAGAATGGGGGTGGGGCTGGGGTGCGGGGTTGGTGGTGATGAGGAGATCCCTTTCATCTCTATTTCCTGTCTGACTCTAGCTTGTGACCATTCCTATGTCCTTGCTTCTCCAACTCCAGGGTTTCTTTTTGGAGACTTTACCTTAATCCCACCCGTGCTTCTTTTAATTCTACCCTAATCTGGCACAGACCATTCACTCTCCTTCCAGAAGTCAGGAAGACCCTAGATGCTGAATTCCTTAGTGTTTTAGGGTCTAAGCAGGAAAAGAGAGAGGCGGCGATGGGGAAATGGCTGCCAGTGGAGGGTGAACTGAGGGCCAAACACAAACGGGCGCCTAGGGCCAGGGCAGGGCGGGAGGTTGCACTTACCACTGAGTGAGCGGCTGGGAGAAGAGTGCTGGCTGTTGGGTGTGCTCACCGAGGGCCCCACTGGGGCCCCAAGGAACTCCTTCTCCAGAGATGAGTCCCCGCTACCTTGGAGGAGAGAACAAGAGGAGAGGTGAAGCTGCAGCTGAGCCTTTTACTGTCCATTGCCTCAGCTTTACAAAATTCTGTTACGCTTTGCAAACACTCCCCTTGTAGCCATGTACAAGGTAGTGTTATATACTCAGCACCATACCTTGTGATGAAGTTTTGGGGTGATGGTGGGGTGGTCCGGAGCTGACGGCCAAGAAAGAATTCTTGAAGACGTCTTTGGTGCAAAAAGGTGATTTCATTAAAGCACGGGGACAGGACCCATGGGCAGGAAGAGCTGCACTGGGGTGGTGATGGGTAACTGATTATATACCCTCAGATTGGGAGGGGGTTAGGGACAGAGTAAGTCTCTAAGGAATTTCGGAAGCAAGCTTTCCAGGATCTTGAGGGACTAGCTGCTGTTAGGAAAATGCCATTTATTACCATTTAGTAAAACCTCAGTCATAACCCCTTCAGATATATATCAAGGGACCATAAGCTTGGAGTATGATTGCCAGCATATATCTTGGGGAAGTTGAGATAAAGGAAGTTTCGAAAGGAATTTTTATATGTTAAAGTAGACTTACAGGATCCTGGGGGTTGGTATATGTGCTGCCGAAGTGAGCACAGGATCCTGGGGGTTGGGATAATGTTAAGCTAAGATTCTCTTCTGCCCTGAGCAAAGTGTCATCATCGAGGCAGCTGAGGTCCTAGAGGAAGGTCACTCTGCCTGTTTCAAGGACTTGTCAATGGGCTGTAGGCAGTAAGGGAATTTAATTTTTCATTTGCCTTCGTTTCCCACATCACCACAGCAAGCACTTAAACCCCTTTCCTTTGTTCTTGGGTAGCCCTGAGTGTCTGAGGAATATCACACATATTCCACCTTGGTAGGGGATGGGGGTGGGGTGGCCCAGGAGGCTAGCTTATACTTTGCCCTCAGCTCACCTTATGCTTCCTTGTGCCCTCGTCAGCCTGGTGCCCAGTTCTGACTTCTGTGAGCTCAGTGGCTGCACCTTGCCTACCCTACCTCTATCTAGGCCTGAGGGGAAAAGCATCACTGCCTGACGTATACAGGAAGCAGGGCTGGGGCTGGGCGGGCCAGGGTGGAGAGGAAAATGGGGGCCTCAGGAGGGAGGTGATTCAGGACAGACGTTCTTCCCTACTGTTCCTCTCTGGAGCCCCCAACACCAGGTTCGGGATCTGTAGGAAGGGCAGCTGGAATTGTCCCTGAGTCTAATGATAATAAAAGTAATCATAATGATAGTTGCTAACATTTACTGAGTGCTTATTTTGTGCCAGGCATTGTTCTATGCACTTTATGTGAACAACCCTCTTGAAGCAAGTGCCAATATCGTATTAATTTTTCAGATGAGAAAACCAAGGCACAAAAGAGGCTGTATTACTTGTCCAAGGTCAGGTAGCTGGTAGTGGTGGAACCCGGATGGAACATAAACAGTAAGCACTCATGTCCTTAGCCATGCTTTACACAGCGAGTTGGTAGTCATTGTTTCAGCAGAGGAGAGTTGGGCCCATTAGATCTTCTCTTCTGAAATCAGCAAAAATTTGACTACTCTAGAAAGTCTCCTATCTGATATGATGATTCCAATCACCTAAATACTACTTGATGTTCCCTTGACAGTGAAATAAGGAGTTTATTCTCAATATATTCATTGTTAACTTGTAACAATTTGTAAAAATGAGTTTTAAGAGTTTGGTTATGTTTTTAAAAATTAGTTAGCATATGTGAAGACATGAATCATGTCTTTTTTAAAAAAAAACCCACCTCCCCAAAATATTTTGCACAAATTTATAGGTGAAAAAAACAGACAAGTAGGTAAACATACACAGAAACACAGACATATATCACATATGTGATACACATAAAGAGAACATACCTACGGAGATAAACACACCCATAGCCTTCTACATTATCTGCTAACATGAACATGCATGGATGCGTACACACAAGCCTAAATATGGAAGAGAGAGAGAGAGAGAGAGAGAGAAAGACAAACCCTGAAATTCATCCCTAAAGTCCACCTATTGGTACTTTACCCAATTTCCCAGCTATGTACATACTTACTTTCACAAAATAAAGATTCCATTATAAAATGGTTGGAGTCTTGGGCCTGAGGCAAGAAATCCGGAACACACCCTCCTGAGGGATCCCTCTCCAGCTTTGGTCAGTGGGAAGAAAACAACCACTCAGGACTTTGGGACCATTTCCCATTCATATCCTCTTCTAAAAGTCCCATTTCCCCCATTCTATCCCATCAAAGCCTGTGGAAATTTGTTCACTATCTATAGAAAATGCCTATGGCTTGAAACTGAGTTTTCCCAGCTGGGGACTCTTTAGATGAACCATGGTTATCTAGAAAAGTTGTCCAAGTCAGAACCACACGCATATCATCAAAGTAAGCATCTCAGGAGTTGTGGGTTGAGATGTGTAGACTCAGACCCAGTTTTACAATATATCCTTTAACTGAGTATTGGGTTTACTATGGTTAAAAGGGCTAAAAAGAGTATCCCCTTGTTCCTTTTCAGACGTTAGTGCTTACTTGCCCTAAATCACTTGGTGTTTGTAATGGGGGAAGAACTGGGGTCTGGGCCCTGGTGCGGAGCCCTTGACTCTCAAACAATGAGTGAACTTGCTGGAAATCCATCTCTAGTCGCAGCCTACTAGGCTTGACATATGGGGAAAATAGGCTTAAAGGGATAGTTAGGGACATTAAGAGGAACATAACCTTTATCCCTTCGTTATTAAGGCCTGGGAACAGGAGAAAGAGCAGGTACCTCCACAGTCACCCCAGTAGTCTGAGGGGGTCATTGATGCCACTGCCCTCCCTAGGATAAAGGTAAGAGGGAAAATAGGCTCAAGTCTACTCTTATGGGGCTAATACATAAAAATGAATCTGTTTCATGGGCCAGAAAGTCTTTATGGGGACCTAGGAATTTTGAGTTCTAGCCGGAGGGTGAAGGGGACTAGAGTCAGATTTAGGAAGTTCAGCAGTTCCTCTGTCAGTCTCAGAAACCCCAGTGAGGGAACTTCAAATGCCTGGACTCCCAGGAAACCCCAGACTGTCAAGAGCCAAGAATTAAGGCCCCTCTCAGGTCTCAGAGAAATATTCTTGGTCAAAGTCATCATAGATTGGCTGAACCCCCAGGGGGCAAAGCCAAATCATGAGGTTGACAGAGGAACAAGGAGGTGGGTATGGGGCAGAAAAACAGGAGGGAGAGAAAGGAAACGGGGCAAGGTCCCACCAGCCCGCCACTCCTGCTGCCCTTCCTCGATCCCTTCACAGAGTGGCTGCCTCCAGGGAACAGCCATGAGGTCTGAGAAGCTCCACACTTCTCTACAAGGAACCTTATCCTAACTGCTTTCCCTTTCTTGACCATGGGCTCCAGGGTGGCAGGATGCTAAGCTGCTAGCAGGGAACAGTGGGTACAGGAGCAAAGAAAGACGCCCATCCCCAGCTCTATTGTGGGGAAGAGGCTGAAGGCTCCTCAGATCTCTGTTTGAGGCTGAGGCTTCTGCTGCCAAGGCTCCTCTTTACCTAGATTCTGTTACCCATTCCCACCCAGGCCTGTCTCGGCATTTCACCCAGGGCAGCTCTACATCTGTCCCCAAGGCCTAATCAAGATGTCACCACAAGCTCCCACTGTCCAAGTCGCAGTCTTTGCTTAGCAACACCAAACACCCTTCCCATCCTCCGCAAGTGTAAGGAGGAACGCCCCCTCCCCCGCCACACACACACACACACACACACACACACACACACAGCCCCCATCCTTTCCCTCTCCTCAGGCTTGGGAGTTGTTACTGAATTGGCTCCCTAGCCCCGGCACCCCCCTTCCCCCTCCACTAGCCACCTTCTGCCTGAACTTACATTATCCTTCCCTTGCCGGTGAGACCCTGGGGTGCGAACGCGGCCGCCGCCTTGGAAACGGCGAGGGAGTGCGGGTGGTGTGTGCATGTCTGCGTCTCGGTGGCAGGCAGGGGTGAGCCCAGCCACTCACCTTCCAGGAAGCGTGGATTCCTGGAAGTGAGGGGAACCGCCGTCATTTCGCAGGCAGCGGCACGGTGAGCAGGGGCCCACGGCTGCAGCCAACAAGAAGAGCTCAGCCCAGGGTGTATGTGTGTGAGAGTGTGCGTGTGCGTGTGTGTATGTGTGTGTGAGAGAGAGAGGGAGAGAGAGAGAGGGAGAGAAGGAGAGAGAGGGAGAGAGAGGGAGAGGGAGGGAGAGGGAGAGAGAGAGAGGGAGAGAGAGAGGGAGCAAGCAAGCGCAAGCTTGGATGTGCTTGGGGAGGGGGCTGGAGAGAATGTATATGTGTGTCTGGTGGGGGGGATGCTAGGCNGGGAGAGAGGGAGAGAGAGGGAGAGAGAGAGGGAGCAAGCAAGCGCAAGCTTGGATGTGCTTGGGGAGGGGGCTGGAGAGAATGTATATGTGTGTCTGGTGGGGGGGATGCTAGGCTACAGCATCCCTTTCCCAAGCCAGTAAAGGGGTGGGGGTAGGGGGTGTGCACAGGGAGGGGGAGGCAGATGCCGTTGCCCTCGTGCCCAGCAGACAAAGAGGAACTGCACAACAAATGCCTGAGAGAGGCAAGAGTGTGTGCAAAAGAGAGAGAGAAAGAGAGAGAGAGAGAGAGATGGATGGGCCCTCGGGGTGGGAGGGAGAAAGGGGGGCCCCCAGGGAAGGCCCAATCCTCTGCCAGCTGGGGAAGCCAAGGCCCCAGAGGTCATGGGGCCCAGGACATGGGGCAGCTTCAAGGCTCTCAGATCGGCAGAAAGCCCCTCCCCCACTAAACTCAGGCACTCAGATTCCCTCCTTTCCCTCCTCCATGAGGGAGGTCGCTCTCTAGATCTGGGGACTGACAGCCCCCTCCTTCCCAGCAGCTAGAAGACCCAGCAGTCTGGTCTCAGGCTAGTGTTGCTCTGTGGCCCCGAAAGCTTTTCAGATCCCAGGCAAAATCCTGATATCGTCTCCCCACCTCCTCTCCCCTCCCCTCCTGTGCCCCTGGGGCCCGGGCGGCCGACAGCCCTGGATGAATCCGCCTTCTATCGAGACAAGGCCTCTGCTCCCTTCCCTTCCAGAGGAGCTGCTCACTGACGTCCTGACCTACTTTGGAGACTAGATTTTCTGATTCCAAGAATTTGGGGGTGGGAGGGGCCGTGAAACTTTGGGCTGCCT